GAAGAGAAGAGAAGAGAAGAGAAGAGAAGAGAAGAGAAGAGAAGAGAAGAGAAGAGGTCCTAGCAAAAAAAGATCCTAACAGGAAAAAAGAAATGGAAAAGTTCCTAGCAGAAAAATGGGATATAAACGAATTAAAGAAATGGCAACGGGGGAGCAGTGGTGACAGGATCATGTTATTCCGTGATTAACAGAATAATTTCTACTGCATTGCAATCGTTCTTTTAGAACACCTGCTTTCAGGAGGCCCAACTCCAGTGAGTTGTTGCTTTGGGCCGCGGGCACGGTGCCACCCTGGCCCGCGATGACTTCATTCAGCAAACCAGAGTGAAACCAGGGCAGCCTGGTGCCGGCTTTATCCTCGCTCCTTTGCGAATGAGTCTCCTCCTTTGGGAATGCTTTACAGGGACGGCCCGGCCTCTCCCAGCTCCGTTGATGCGCCTTCTTCTTGGCGCGCCTCTTTTGCTCAAAAAACGGTCACGGTCTGTCGGGGGGGGGGGCAGAGAAAGAGGTGGCCAAAGGCAAGTAGCCGCCCAGAACCGCCCTGACTTCAGGCTGCGTTCCACGTGGTGATCCCCAAGAAGGGATTCTGGAGACGGAATCCTAAAATCCTAAAATGGGAGGGACCTTGGTGGTCATCTATTTGAACTGGATCATAAAATCAATGAATGTAAGGTGGGGGACCTCAGAGATCATCCAGCCCAACCTTTGCCCATTGCAGAAATCCCCTGGTGTGGCATTCGTGGTGGGGGGCCCACCAGCCTCTGGTTAGACACGTCCAGCAAAGGAACAACAGTGATCCAGATAATCACTGCGTACAGGACTCTTTAATAGGTGCCTTAAATTTTTAAATTGAAATATTTTTCATTTAAAAGGATGCCAATCCGGATTCCCCTTCCCAGGCCATTGGGCGTGTGCATGGCTTTGTTGGATTCTTCCCTTCGGCTGAGCCCGGCCGCTCCTCTTCCTCTTCAGCAGCATTTCTCAACCTTGGCAGCTTTAAGATGTGTGGACTTCAACTCCCAGAATTCCCTAGCCAGTATGGGGGGGAATTTTGGGAATTGAAGTCCACTCATACTGGCTGAGGGGTTCTGAGAGTTGCAGTCTACACATGCTGGCTGGGGAATTCTGGGGGTTAAACTGGCTGGGGAACTCTGGGAGTTGCAGTCCACACATTTTAACATTGCTAAGGTTGAGAAAGACTGCCTCGTCCTGCAGAAATACCTGCGCATGGAGCCTGCACCCTTTGGGGAAGTGTTCACTCGCCTCACCACGGAGCAATTCTGGACAATGTAAAACAGGAATGCAAATGCCTGCAGAAGAGAAGACTTCTCGAAAACTTTCACCAAACAGATCCCCGTTGCTCTCCTGATCCAGACCCACCAGCGTCTCCCCTTTCTGGACCGGCTTTGTCAGGGAATTCATCTGGAGCATCCTCACCACTGAACAAAATACAGCCCCTCTTTGCTCCCAGACCAGGTCATCACTGGAGGCTTTCAAGACAAGGCTGGACAACCGTTTGCCCGAGAAGGGGTGAAGATTCCTGTTTTGGGCAGGGGGCTGGACTAGAAGACCTCCCAGGTCCCCCCCCCCATAATTCTATGATTTTATAAGTTGGAATGATTGATGAACGCTTGCTCAGAGAAGGTGAAGAGAAAATCTGGGAAGAGTGTGAAGAAATCGTGGCCGCAGAACTTGTGGGACAGTGTGACCCGTGGGTGAAGTTTACACGTGACCATTTGCAAAACTTTCAAGCGGATTGCTTAGAGATGTAGACTTCGTATGGAGAAATATAACGAAATAGGCGACTCATTTATACAAAATGCAGTAGGTTAAAAAAAAAAAATAAGCTGTGACACCATAGAAATCCATTAGAAATATTTGTGTACTTGAAGGATATTTGTATTAGATATATAGAATCAAAATTGTTTTTTTGTTATAATGTTAACCCTTGTTTCCTCTTGGTTGCTTTTTCCCTTTTTTGTTAATCCACTCTTACGTGTTTTGTTTCTTCTTCTGGTCGTCAAACATCTAAAATAATAGTAATAAAGATACGTAGATACAGAATTGTAATTGCTTACTGTTACCGTGACATACCAACATGTTTTTTTTCCCTTTGTAGCATTCCTTTCACTTTTTTGCTAAAGCACTTTCTCTACGTTTTGTTTGTCTTCTTCTCAATAATAAAAAAATAAATAATTAAAAAAAAAACAGTTTATGCATGACCAGATCAGGCGACCTTATGGAGAACAGCCTGCAAGTGATGTTTCGTGAATTATGTTTTTCGCACATGTAGACAGCCCTGAAACCCTGTTTTACTGTCCCAGGTTGTCCTTTAAAGTCCTTTAAAGACTTGCAAGAATTCCACGTTCCCCGTCCTCCCACCTAACACAGGTTATTTCAAACAGTTTTTTGGGGTGCTCGCCTTTTTTTGGGGTGCTCGCCTTTGCTACCTGAGTACCAGTGGTCTCGTGCTGTGTCATTCAAATGTGGCTTCTGTTCGTAAGTTTGAAAAGTAAGAGAATTAAAACCGGGGGGTGTCCTTCACGGGTTGGGTAAATACGAGTGCAGAATGACCCTTCTGACGGACGTTAGTGCGGTTTTCAGAACGGTGCCCTGCAAAGTTCAATTCACGGTTCAACTGAAATGTAACCCCTGGACAACGTCTAAGCACATCACCCGCTGTGAAATTGGGAAGGAGGGGATTTTTGTATTCTGTGACTTTTGGGGGGGGGTTAAGAGGGGCTTTATATAAGTTTATATATGGCTGTACATGAGTTCTCATTTTTGTAGGTTTTGTTTGTTCGGTCCATCTTTAACAAATGTTTGTCGCTGCAATTTTTTCGGTGTATCCTGGTTTTGCGGCCGTCGCAGTTCTGGAATTTAGCTGGAAGGCTCTTCCCTTCCTCCCTCCCCCTTTTTTCTGTATTGACAGGCAGTGAACAGCAGACGGTGGACATTCAGAAGGTTTATTTGGCAGCGAGGAGGAGCAGCACAGAATGGAGGAGCAGGAGACACCCATCAGTCGGGCACAGGCCTCCCTCGCAGGGGGAGCGTTCGCAAGAGAAGCATGGCGAGGGCTTCCCACCCCCGAAGCCCTGAGCTTGTCAAGCCCTCGTCGGGAACAGCAAGAAGCCGCTGAAGACGCTATCGGCGTCTGAGCTGCTGACAATGTTGGCCCCACCGGGAGAGTCGCTGTCCAGCCAGACCTGGTCGCCTCGGGCCAGCTCCAGGACGCTGCCCCCCGAGTTGACTTGCAGCATGCCCTTGCTCTGGTCGCAGAACGTGGCCACCGCTTTGTCCCGGTGCATGAGGTTTAGGCACAGGCTGCCCTGGGAAACCACCTGAAAAGTGAAGTAATAATATCCCGGGACGCTGCAGGTGAACTTCCCCGTCTGAGTGCTGTAGGCGTTATCCTGGTTGGTGATGCTGTTGTCAAAGACCACTGTTTTCGGGGAGAGGCCTGGGGAGGGGTTCCTCCGAGAAGCCGAGAAGGCGGTCCTGGGCTGGTCCTGGATGTTTCCCACTTGGCCCTTTAGGCCCCTATCGCCCTGTTCACCAGGGGGCCCCATGGGGCCATCCAAGCCTCGGTAACCTTGGTTGCCCGGTTCACCCGGAGGACCGGGCGGTCCTGGTTCGCCTTTTGGGCCCCGGATTCCGGTGCTCCTCGTCCCCATCCCTGGAAGGAAAGTGTCTGGGTAATTGTTGCATGGATTCCAGGTTGGAGATGGATTTTGGAACCCCCACCCCCATCAGGCTAAAGGGGTTGGGCCCCCAATGACAGCGATTGGCGGTTGGAAACGTTTATGCGGGACGGAATATAGAATTGGGCAGAATTTGAGAAAGTTGCATTCCCAGAATGACCATGAAGGCTCTTAGCTCAAATGTGCGAAAACTGGTAATAAGAGTATCTTAGTAATGCTCTTGGTCAACTTTCTCCTTGATCGGTGGCCTCAAGCAGCCACTCTGGAGGATGAATAATCCGCATTCTGGGAAACCCTGCAGCGTGGTTGGCAGAGGGTAAAATCTTTCAGCTTTCAGTGGCCCAGTGGAAATGTTAAAGGAGATAAAAATTAAAGCAGCAATCTCTACTGCATTTGTGGCTGTTCCTATGGAATCAGTGAAATAGCTGTTGATACAAAGTGAAATGTTCCTCTTCACGGGAGGTTTTCAAACCAACCTGGATGGCCATCTGTGAGGAGGGGCTGGACTACATGACCCCTGATGCACCTTCCAACTCTCCCCCCTTAAAATGGAACAGGATTTCGGCTTTCCCTCTTCTAAAGCATAACATCCAGGAGGACAGCACTATCTGTATATAATATGCTCCTGCCAAAGTTATGGGCCCAGCCCAATTTGTCATTTTTAATGCCATTGAAGGGGGAAGAGATACTAAATCTCTATCAATCATGAAACTGGAGCAGCAATTCCCACCTTGGGCAACTTCCAGATCTGGGCCAGTTCCCAGAATTCTCACCAACAGCTACACTGGCTGCGGAATTCTGGGAGTCGCAGTCCGATCATTTGCAGCTCGCCCAGGTGAAAGAAGCCCTGATTTAGACTGAGCCTTGGCCCCGCCTACTTTTTTGGCACGGCTCCACCCACTTCTCTACAGCCGTGGTTCTTGGATCGAGCAGAGCTGTGCACCCCGTAGCAAACGAGGTCGTTCTTATTTATTTGTGATTTGATTTATTTGATTTACGCTCTTGCTACTGGCCAGCAATCTTTTACCTGGGTCACCCACATCGCCTTTCTGTCCTGGTCTTCCGTTCCGCCCTGGGGCTCCTGGATGCCCGTCTCTGCCGTTGGGCGCCTGGCACACGGTTTGCTGGGGAACCACGCTATCCAGCACCAGGATCAGCACTCCAGCTGCCAACCAGAATCGGCTCGCCATGTTGACTCTGTGGCCATCATCAGAGGAGAGAGTGAGACCCTTGCTCCCCCTTTTCCTTCTCAGGGGGAGTTGCCCCCCCCAAAAGCCCCAGTTGGCACCTCCCACTCTGCAAAGCCATTGCTCCATTTCTACCCCTGTTTTTTTAAGGTACCCATTTGCATTTCAATTCTATTTTATTTTCCTTGCAAAGCCCTTTGAGATGTGACTGTGGGGAAGCCGTATCAAAAAGAACACGGTGGAGAAAGAATGTTGTTTATGTCCCACAAGGAAAAGGGAGATGCCTGCTTCCTCCCAGGCCTTTCCTTTTTTCCCCTTTTCCTGAAATAACTTTATTAGATTTTTAAAATAAAGAGATTAAAAACTAGCAAGGACTAGTCGTGAAGAGAAAAAGTAGAAAAGAGAAGAAGGTAAAGAGCGAAAAAGAAAGGAAGATCAAAAGTGCAAAGATGCAAAAGAAAAATGGCTTCTGACTTTCTTTTACAACAGATAGGTGTATAAAGTTGCTTTAAGCTCTTACCCTTCTCAACCTTGGCCAAAATCTCACCTTGCTGCCACCCCTCTCCCTCTCCACTCAAACCCTCAGCGGCTCGTGTGTGCTGGTTTTGCTTTCGCACTCCCCAGCCTTGGCAGGCAGCC